AACAGTATGACTATTACTATATCAACATTATTATTGCTATTACTGTTACAGCATTACTATTACAAAATTATTATGACTATTACTACTACTATTACAACATTACTACTATTATTTCTACCATTACAACATTACTATTGCTATTACTGTTACAACATTATCATTATTACTTTTACAAAAATGATACTATGCTATCACTAATACAACATTATTACCATTACTATCATAACATTATAACCACTATTACTACCACAATATCATTGGTTATACTGCCAGTCCGATATTATTACTACAACAACTTTATCATTATCATCATATTGGAACAGTGTTACAAACGAAGCTACTTCAATATCATAACTACTACACTACATCATCATTACTACAATACTACCATCTCTATTAATACTAGGAACAATATAAATTCTTCTTGATCTGTTGCTACTACGACGGTATTGCTGCCATTACTAATACAACTACCTCTATGATACCTTATACGATCAATTCAGTATGTTCAATCTACGCAGTAACTTTGATCTATTAACTCATGAAATACATATGTAACAACTAATTTTGAGGTGAGGCATTAATGAAGTGAAATAGCGGGGAGCTATTCCTTGTAACATCAGCTGAAGTTTTTCCCACCTATAACAAGTCTCGCACATGTACGCATTGCCAGCTTATTTATTTGTTTCAAAGTACAATTAGATGAAGTTTGGCAAATAACCGGATTGACAAATTTTGCTGAGAGTTGTCATGAAAATAATAATACTGTTAAGCGCTTTGAAATAACGAAAATGGACGTGACCAAAACAGAGTATTATCTTGTCATTTATTGTTCTTATTACTGTCTTAATCGGTGTATTGGGCTTAAGGTAAAGGAAGGGGGAGAGGGAGAGTTAACAAAAAGTGAACTGGGTGGAATCTTTCAGCCCCTCCCCAGTCCTCCTCATTTTACTTTGCAGCTCTCGCCTCCTGTAATTCTCCCCCTCGGATGATATTTCCATGATTCATCAACGAAAGTTGGTTTCTCCTCAAAGTGAATCTATTTCTACTTTCTCCGAGCAATGTACAAACGTAGCAATTTGCGTTTTGTACAACACCCCTTAGAATCCATTAGTAATGAAGAAGTTGCTGATAACAAGAATGCTCTTTTTGTATCTTAGCTAGAGACCAATTGTGAGAAACTGAAATTAAAAACGGATTTGAAGCGGCAAGTAGAGTCTTCTAGCTAGCAGGCCAGACTGCTCTTGATTCTAACTTTTGATTCCTGTCCATTCTTTCTCAACATAAAAGCGTAAGCAATGCTGGCACCGTTTAAGTCCCATTGCTGAGTCCTCAGATTTCCCTTAATTCCTAGCAGGCATTATAGCTGTCGGAATAAATGGAATAAAAATGAAGCTTCCTTACCTTCAGGCTAAGGGACGGCCAATG